GCCCCCAGATCCAGTGATGCTAGGGGCCCGGGCAGAGAGGCAGAGGCAAAGGCCGAGGAGGAGCACATGCTACAGCTAGAGCGCCTGTCGAGGCAACAGTTGAGGAGCCGCCAGTAGCTCCTATTGGGGGAGTGGTACCGGAGGCGCATATGGTTTCCTAAGGCGGGGTGATTCCGGTTGCACCAGCTACTCCACAGATCGGGGGAGGAGCTCAAACTTCCGTCGCCCGTACTCCAAAGCAGGGAGCCATATTGGTCAGGTTTTAGGTGTCATGCTGATGCAGCCTGTTGTTCTAGTTCAGCCCGTGATTAGGGCAGCAGCATATGAGGAAGAACATCTTAAACTTGCGAGGTTCAAGAAGTATTACCCTTCTACTTTTAGTGGTTTGGCTTCAGAGGATGCGCATGGGTCCCTAGGGGAGTGCTACCGTATTCTCCGCACTATGGGTATTGGAGAGACGAGTGGGGTTGATTTTACTACGGTCGATCTTAAGGGAGCAACATATCAGTGGAGGCGAGCGTATAAATTGGGTAGTCCGGCCGATGCAACTTCACTTTCATGAGTTCAGTTTTCAGGGATGTTCTTGAGAGAGTTTGTTCCCCAGACCCTTCGGGATGCATGGCGCATGGAGTTTGAGAAATTGCTCTAGGGTACTAAGTCAGTGTCAGAGTATGCCGGTATATTCAACGATTTGTCCAGACATGCGCCTACTTTGGTTTCAACATTTGACCATGAGATTGGGTGATGCCTCCTCATATTGTCTCTTCGTTCTTTCCTGGGTTCGACTTGTACTGAGATGAGCTTTTGAGTTGGTTTGTTGAGGTCGTCATCATCTGCCCGGACTTTGGCACAATAGGCATTATGGATTTTATCCCAAGTGGTTGGAGGGTACTTCATCAACCGGCTCATTAGCTTTCTGGTCGCTCTTGAACCCTCTCTACTCAACCCGTTATGAAAGGCTGCGACTGTCATCCTTTAGTCCCTCTCGAGGGATTTCTTGATACTGAAGATGTCGTTTACTCTTTTTTTGGCTTTCTTGGCCCCGGCATGCGCCGTCACGAACTTATCGGTCATTTCTTCGAAAGTTTCTATGGAGCGGGCTAGTAGCTGTGAATACCATATTAATGCCCCTCTAGTGAGGGTTTTGCCAAATTTCTTCAACAAAATGGAGGACACTTGTTCCTTGGTGATGTCGTTGCCCTTCACGGCGGTGAAGTATTGAGTCACGTGATCTTCGGGGATGGTTTTTCCGTGTTACATCCTGAGATATGGTTGAATTTTGAAGGTCTTTGGTATGGCATATGGGGTCGCTTCCTCGTTATACGGCTGTTCTACGAACCTGCCGGCGTCCCTCTTCGGCAGTAGCTTAGGGGCGCCCGATATCTTGTCAACTCCTTCTTGATGTTCTTTCATTTTGTCTCTGAGCGTTTTGTTCTCATTCTTCATTTCTTCCATTCTCTTCAAAACAGCGGCGAGGACGTCATCACCTGCACTATCAGTAACATTGTGAGTTATACCTGGCATTGGAGGGTCTGGTTGATCCCCCAGTTCGTTTCCTCGCTGTACCGCGTGGGCTCTCGTGGTTTCTATAGTTGTTCATGGAGCTTGTTTGTTGAGCACGCTTACTAAGGTATCGGTCAACCATGCTTTGAGGAGCTTTTTCATGGTAGGTGGCGTCCCTTCTCCTGTGGACGTGGAAGCCCTTTTCCATTTGGTTTCATTGTGCTACAATGAGGGGGATGCAACCTCTAGCCCTTGGGAGAGGCAGTTGGTGTCACATTATCGCCCAACGTTTCATAGCTCTCGTTGATAGTGTTCATGAGGTTGCCGGGGATGTCACCTGTCACCTTAGTTCCGTTTCGTTGGTTACCTGCCATGTAGATTTCTATACGTGCAGAGAAGGAGAAAAACTTTGTGGTTTCTTGGGTTAGCAAATCATGTGAGTTGTAGATCTAATGGAAACTAAAAGATTAGCTAAGAATTTCCCACAGACGGTGCCAAACTGTTGGACCCAAAATTTAGATATGGGTTTAGACAATTAGATTTAATAAAATAGAGTCAATCTTAGCCAATATTAATGTCCAAAAGATATATTAGCTGATTTTGTAGCAAGATAATACGTATATTATCTAAATAGCAATAAATGATGATAACACTAGCATTATTCAATGACCCAAAAAGGAAGGGGATAACATTAAATAATAATAAATAGCAACGAATGACATTTAAGTAAATAAGAACATGTGAGTCACCTGGAAAGGGTGAGATCCGTGGATATTCTTTCTGACAATGATGAATGATTGATGAGCCTTTGAATATTCGGATTGTTCTTGGATCGTGGGAAAAAGTTAGACAAGAATCTTAAGAAAATGTATATTTTGTATGTGTTCAGTAAAGCAAGATTCTAGAGAGAAAGTCAATGTGTTCTCTTACAAGTGAATATTTCATGTCTCCCCATAACTATGTCTCTTTCTATTTATAAGGGAACTTATTTCTAAAAACTCTAATAGTACATATCCAGAGAATATCCATAGTCTTATCTAAAACTAGCCGTTATTATTCTTTTTTAAGTGGAGTGCTCGTCCTCGGCCTTGACCTGTGATGACTTCTCGACCAAATCCTTCGTCTCTCGCTAGACCACTTCGACCTTAAATTCGCCTCTTGCTGAAGTCATACTGATGACACGTGGAAGCTCTCGAAGGTCCTCTTAATGCTGACATGGTTTAAACACAATTAAGTTAATTTTTGGTCCATACACCGTCAAATACGGTAACATAAATTTAGACTAAGGGAGTATTGATTTTGACGAGATATACGTATCCAGTTAAGATAAGAATGTACCCAAGTGGATAAGACTAATTTTAAGAATTCAAGTGAGGGTTTTATAATATGAAAAGAAGAATCCTTCGGGAGAGAACTAAGATGATTGTTAATTTATTACGTTGGAAATGTGCTTATTGCACTTTCAGATGCCTGTTTGCTATAACTGACGTCAATATATAATAAATAATTACCTATAACTTATAGGACAAACAATGGTAAATTGGAAATCTGATTCTTTAACTATCTGACTTCACAATTCTTCTGAATTCTGAGACTAGTTTCTTGGGGAGTGGTTGGGGGGTGAATATTCAAATACACTATCTTATGAATCATGCTAAAATGTGACAGATGTTAACAATACGATCCATAATATATATGTTGGAAAAACCAAGCATAATTATATTCTCTCTGTCCTGTTAACAGAAAAAAAAAAAAAAAAACTTAAATTTTCCTTTTTGTCTTATCATTAGTGAGAAAATGCCTTTTTCCCCACGTATCGTTAACAAGGGAGTAAAGAAAAGTGTAATTAAACTGCAATAACTAGAAGTTCCTCATTAATATAAATGTGTGATTTTGTCATTCAAGTTATGACCTTTTGGTGTCTTTAATAACAAAATCATTGGATAACTTATTGTAGATAGTTGTAATGTTTGGCCCAATATTAAGGCAATAATCACAGTCATCAATAGTGGTGGCTAAATAGATTTAAAAAAATAGAGTAGTTAATTATTCATATTATCATTAAGAATAAATTAAATAATGAACTTCTTAAAAATGGGTTAAATATAGATAAGATCTATATTATTCATTTAAAAATTGAATAATCAATGTCCAATAGATAATCAATGAGGTTAATTTTTACATTTGCAAAGACTCAAATTTGGGATTTCTCAAGTTTTGTGAGACTAAGAATTCTCTCTATTCAAGAAGTCATGGATAATATGAATATTCATATCATCCGTTGGTTAACTTATTTTCTATCCGTATTCAATATTGGTCGAGTCGGATAATTTATTTATTTTCGACCCGCTCATATCCGATCCGACTCGGCTGTTTGCTGCCCCTAGTTATCAAGGATAAACTCTGTAACTAGTTAGTTACTAGGCAGTCGGATACACGAAATATCCTGCATTTACGTAAGGTCCGAAGAAGAATCTCACCCCAAAGAGTGTGATATAGGGAGCCTACCCTAATACAAACATAAGTAGCTAGTTACTCTTCATTTAAATCTTTCGTTTCAAAGAAGAATAGATACACAACATTGCTGGTTTCCAGCCATTGATTTGTATGGTTTTTTCTTTTTAAAGGGGTTTTTGTCTGCTGAGAACTAGGGGTGTTCATGGTTCGGTTTGGATCGTTTTTTCGTAAAAAGAAACCAAACCAATAAGTCGGTTTTTTAAATATTAGAACCAAAGCAAACCAAACCAAACCAATTAAGTCAGTTTTTCTCGATTCGATTTATGTCGGTTTTTCGATTTTTTCGGTTATTTATCAGTTTTTTCTTAAATATAAGACATACACTACCAAACACATATTCCGGCGACCACATTTTCAATGTAGCACTATCAAATCAATTGCCCTTTGAGAAATCTATTATTTAGTATATTGATGATAATTGAATCAAATAGTGATGAATAATTTAAGGACTCAATTAAAAATATGTTATTTTTAACACGAAATGGATTCTTACTCTAAACAAAAGAAAACTATCAATCAAACTAGAATGTAAAGGTAAAGAACTATATTAAAAGTGCAAACTATTAGCATTTACCATAAAAATTTTGAAACTTTGTATAACAATATACACATATATAGGTTTAATAATAAATTTGAAATAGCTAATCCTATAGTTGGTTTGGTTCGATTTTTTTCTGATTAAAACCAAAACCAACCCAAATTTGATCGATTTTTAAAATTCAAAACCAAAACCAAACCAAACCAAAAAGTATCGATTTGTTTGATCGATTTGATTTGGTTTTCGGTTTGGTTCGATTTTTCGGATTTTTATGAACACCCCTGCTGAGAACCACAAGAGAGAGAAGACAGTAAATATAGGAAAGGAAAAACAAATAGGAAAAAAAAAACTCAAAATACGAAATATAAAAAAATAAAGACTAAATAGAATAAAGAAATAAAGACTTTCTCTTCAATTGGTTCAATGATTTCAATCACCAAAAAAAAAAAAAAGATTCCCCTTCCTCTTCTTCTTTTATCTACTTCATCTTTGGTTTTCCTTTCTCATCTCTCACCTTCCTTCTTTCTTACGTTCAACTGAAAAAATAGAGAGAGAGAGAGAGGATAACAAAAACTGAAAAGAAAACAAAAGACAGGAATAAGACTTCATCTTTTTTCTGTATTAATATACTTTAAACGTATATTTGCATAAGCTGGGATTAATTTTTTGATGGATCTGTAGATCTAACGCTTTCACAACCACATGTATTGCTCTGTTTTATTCAGATCTCCGTCATTTTCACTTGCCGCACTTCAGTAATAGACCAGAAAAGATAGCATATAAAGGCCTAATCACAACTGTGAGTCTTCTTTTTTCTTTATTAGGAGGCAAATTCTCTCAAAGCTGTGAACTTTGTGTGGTTTTCCGTGGGTCCATACTTCTATTTTGTTCATTTTCCACATGTGTTTTAGCTGGGTTTTGGCTTTTACAACCTTAATAATTGATCCCTTCCTTTTTTGGACGGTAATGTGTTAGTTTGACCCAGTTTTTTGCCTCAAGTTGTTTTCAAATCTTTGGAGATTTCTAGTTTGTGGTTCATTCTTATCTTATTGTTATTCCTGGTTTTGTGATAAAGCTATGATCTTTGGCTCTATTCTGTGATAGGTGAAGTTTTAATACTTGAATTTCTTGTTTATTTGTTGTTTCCAGGATAAAGGGGGAGTAGTGGTGAAGGGGTTTTACTTGGACAGGTTTTGCATCCGTTTGGATGTTGAGGAATTGGCGGTAAGCAAAGGTGAAATGAGGGATGTTATCAAAGTTGATAAATTTTTTGAGGGCATGTTGGCGGCCATCATCGGACCGTTTTGTACACACTGGTCCAGATTCAGCTGGACGCCAAGATGGACTTCTTTGGTACAAAGATAGTGGACTGCACTTGGTTGGTGAATTCTCTATGGCAGTTGTTCAGGCCAACAATTTGCTGGAGGATCAAAGCCAGATTGAGTCGGGTTCTCTGAGCTTGCTCGATTCTGGCCCCTATGGAACGTTTGTCGGGGTATATGATGGTCATGGTGGGCCTGAAACATCACGTTATATCAATGATCACCTCTTTCAGCATCTCAAGAGTGAGCATATTTGACCAGACTGCTTATCTGCCAAGTATTTATTTATTGGATAGTATTGTAGAATTAGTAGCTTGATCTTGATTACTCTGCAACTTATATATTGCAGGGTTTGCAGCTGAACAAAATTCCATGTCTGTTGATGTAATACGAAAAGCTTTTCAAGCAACAGAGGAGGGATTCCTTTCTCTGGTTGTTAAGCAGTGGCCAACGAAACCTCAGATGGCTGCTGTCGGATCTTGCTGTCTGGTTGGAGTGATCTGCGATGGGACCCTTTATGTTGCGAACCTTGGTGATTCCCGGGCTGTTTTGGGGAGACTTGTCAAGGCTACAGGAGAAGTTCTAGCGCTCCAGCTTTCAGCTGAGCATAATGCAAGTTTTGAGTCCGTCAGACAGGAATTACATTCTACGCATCCCGATGACCCACAGATAGTGGTTTTGAAGCATAATGTATGGCGTGTAAAGGGTCTGATACAGGTATGTTTCTGGTTACAAGTGGGCTCTAGACTCTAGTTCGCTATTGTGTGATCATCTTGCCTTTGAGTTAAACACAACGATCATTATTGCACCAGTATTTTATCCTCTTCCATTTGCAGGGTATTTGTGAGTTTATCACTGACTCTATACTGGCTTTTGTCTTAGGTTCTTACCCTCCGTGACTCTGAAGTGAATTAAAAGCCTGTCATTTTTTCCCTCAGTTGTGGCTTTGTCTTTGATACTCCAAAATACCTTATCCTTTTCTTTTGGTTTGCTTAATGAGGGATGGATGAAGGGTTATACTACCAATTGTATTATCTAACTGCAAGGCTAGGTTTTTATCCCGCATTATGTGCTTTACATGAATTCCTGTTTTTTGAATTAAATTTTTTCTTTACCTTGCAGAACATGTAATTATTGTTTTGAGAATGTTTCAATCTATTTTATTGATCTGTCAGATTACGAGATCCATTGGCGATTTATATCTCAAAAATGCTGAGTATAATAAGGAGCCATTGTATGCAAAATTTCGTTTGCGAGAACCTTTCAAAAGGTCCTTATTGAGCGCGGATCCATCAATTTCAGTGCATGAACTTGAACCACATGATCAATTTCTCATATTTGCTTCTGATGGTCTTTGGGAACATCTTAGCAATCAAGAAGCAGTTGATATCGTCCAAAATAGCTCTCACAGTGTACGATCCTTCACTTGAAAGCATAACATTTCTTATTCTTCTCTTAATTTATTTTTTATACAGTCATGGATTGAAAGCTGATCTGATTTCCTTAGGCGGTGCATTTCTATATTTTAAGCATATTACATACTGAAACCACATATACTGATAATTTCTCTCTTTGTAAGTCATGTAATGCACTACTGCCCTCAAAGCTTTAATTGTAACGTACTCCTTTTTTGGTGATACGCAATTGCGTTGCATCTAAAAATTACATGGTCTTCAGTAATCGTATCATGTACTCACTAAAATGTAGCACGAGCGTACCCATTCGATAAAAACATTAGTTTTTTTTATGGGTCCATTTCTTCAGGTGAGATGTCTTATTCATGTTATAAAGACATGCTGTGATAAGAAAAATACAGAAATGGCGAGATAAACAGAAGTGCACATGATGATCAAATCCAAAACTGAGCAACATATTGTCAAGGCATTGAAAATTTTCCATCTGCACTCAATTTAAGAAATAAAAATCTGACCGTCGAAAAAGCTGAGCACAAATCCTTAGCAAAGGCTATCGGATTAACAAATGCTAAACATTTATTTTGTGAGTAACAAATGGAAATAAGAACTTCAAAATTCATTGTTCCAATGCTTTAATAGTGGAAGTGTAAAAGGTGTATAGTTCTCTGCCAAATTCCCTTTTGTGTTATGTATTTCTGTGTCATACTGGGATGAATATGGTTGAGGATCGTCTGAATGTTGATGGATTTCTATGTTGAGCGTACTGAGAAAGTAATTACATTTTCTAAATTCAGGGAAGTGCTCGGCGGCTTGTAAAAGCTGCTTTGCAAGAAGCGGCAAAGAAAAGGGAGATGAGGTATTCTGATCTGAAGAAGATTGATCGCGGTGTGAGGAGACATTTTCATGATGATATCTCGGTCATAGTCGTGTTTCTAGATTCAAATCTTGTGAGTAGAGCCACCTCACTTAGAGGGCCCTCTGTATCTCTGAGAGGAGGTGGTGTGAACCTCCCGGCAAGAAGTCTGGCTCCCACTCCCACATAACTTGGTACTGCTTGAACTTATCACTTTGTTGTATACTCTGCTGTGTCCTTGTTACAAGATCTTGTAGTAGATTAATGAGAAATAACAGAAGGTGCAGCACTAATTTATTCTTTTGATGTACAATGTAATGTTTTTGGTGTTCAATGGTAACGTTTAACATGGAACAGCTTACTTCTTATTAACTTTATGAGCAGGCAAGAAGATCGAAAGAATTAACTGTAGAGATTCTTTCTCGAGGATGGACTTTTCTGCTTATTTCATTTTCTTTTCTTACTACCCGTTTGATCCAAAGGTATCTCATCACATTCATGGTGTAGAGCTGAAGCCCAACGAATGAATTATTTTCTATCATTGTTACTTCTCCCTATTTCATGCACTGTCCCAACGTTTTGGACAGTGCATGAAATGCAGCTATTGCAGCCAAAAGCCTTTTATCTGGCAACCCACAGTGTGTTGTTTTTTCCTGGAAATGGATTCTTGACTGCTTTTTTGTGGACACTGTTTTCCAGTTTGGCAACATATTTCTACTGGAGTCTTAACTTGTGTCTATCTCAGATTCTTGGCACTAGATAATCAACAGTCAAAGATTCCGTTGACAAGTTTTTATTTAGCAGTATATCATTGTTCACTAGCTCCTTCCAGAAACAGCATAATGGACCATGTACGTTATTGACATTATTGATTTATTTGACCAACAGTATATGTGGGGGGAGCAGCTGAAAATTGACCATTTCTCCGTGTTGTTCATAAAAGTTCTCTCTGGACTTTCGGGTCGTTATTTAATGATTTGTTCAGCTTTTTCCCTTCTCTGAATTCACTGGTTAATTCATCCATTATTTAATGCACTTGTTGTGCAATGTTTTTGGAGTTGCACCATTAAAATTTCATGATTTAAGTTGCTATTTGCTGATTAATACTAACTGGAATAATTGATGATTATCATGGAGAAGGGGTGGTAAAGCATCTCCCTTGTGATTTGCCTTACTCAGGAACATATTGTTGGTTCATTCTATTGTGGCAATCTTCTTCCTCCAAATAATTATGATATTCTACATTCAACCGAAATGCAAGGTTATAATTAAAAGGCTTCTGCCATGATTGCAATATACAATTACAAAGATTATAAGATTCATGATAACTTGACAAGTTTTACACTGACTATACCGCAATCCTTCTTTATTAGGGCTTAAAACCGACAATGTTAGCAAAGGTCCCAAGTCGGGGAGAAATTCAAAAATAGCCAAATTTAAAAGTGATCATTCAGAAATAGCCACAGTTTTAAAAGTCATCAAAATTTAGCCACTTTTCATGTAAAGATAAATCTGAATGAAAACACTATTCAAAATCCGGAAAATACTCCAGCATAATATACTGCAATTCCAGTATAACATATAGGAACTTCAGTATTATTATACTGGAACTCCATCATTTCCAGTGTACTTTCCTGGAACTCCAGTATATTATATTGGAGTTCCAGCAAAGTATACTGGAACTCTAGTATATGCTGGAAGTTAATACACATGTGCACCGAACTCCAGTATATTATACTGGACCGGTCTTTGTTGCAGCAAAATAGTGGCTATTTTTCAATGATTTGAATGACCGGTCTGAAAAGTAGCTAGCCCGTGCTATTTTGACCCCAAGTTACTTCAGCTGGGCTTGGAAACCGATAATGAGCAAGATGACAAGTTACAATAGCTGACTGCAGTATAATGCCTAAATTCTTTTGCAATATAGGATCAGGAAGATGTGGAATAATACTCAAATATCAATATTTCAACTACAGAATTGAGATTGTATGGATCCCTTCCTTTCTACTATTCCGCCAATTCAAAGAAGGTGAGCGAACTTTACTGTCAAATGGTGGTCATTTTTAGATTTCCATTCCTACACACAACCAAATCAACCTAAATATACTGTGTCTTAAATTAAGCAAACTTTAACTGATATTGTATGTTAGCCTAAACTCTTCGTTTCCACTTGTGGTTGTTTCCTCGGAAGTTCCTGTCAGATCGTATGAGTCGTCTTCAATGCTTATACTATAGGCATCTAAGCACCTCAAATTCGCACTACCAAAGGATAGGTGATCTATGTCCATGTGAAACCTCTGCAACCTAATGCCATCTATGCTAACTGAGCTTTGAGAATAATCAACTTGTTTCGGTTGATGGTTTCTATGACCCATTGATCCGATTGACAAGCTAGCTAATTTTAAGGAACCATTTGAAGGTTGTTTATATATGATATTTTCTGCAGAAAAGAGGGCAGCCTCCAGTTCTTGCCATACTTGAGTCATTGTAGGCCTTTCTCTAGGGACTTTGGCCACACATTTCAGACCATGTTGTCCCATTTTCAACATCATTTCCATGTTGCATTGTTCCATTAAGAGATTAGCATCTATTATTTCGTCGATGCTTCCTCGTTCCAAGCTAGGTCTTGCCTGCATAACCAACAAAGCAGGGAATTCTATGAATCTACAACTTCATCGTATGGAAATAGAATGTTTTGCATATTGCAGATATTAGGATGCTAAAATCAAGTCTGAAACTTTCATTACCCAATCAATAATGTGAAAATTAGGATGACCTCTGCTTTTCTCGACTACAGGTCTAGCAGCAACAAGCTGCAGTAGTATAACACCATAGCTGTATACGTCGGTGAATGAAGTCAAGTGGAGAGATGAACAGTAGGCAGGGTCAAGGTACCCTGGTGTCCCCTTTATCTGACTGCTAACATGTGACTGATCCCCACTGGGACCCGATTTCACAAGCCCGAAATCTGAGACCTTGGCCTCAAAGTTCTCTCCTACCAAGATGTTGCTCGGTTTTATGTCCCGATGAATTATACTTGGTTTGCTTCCTTCATGCAGATGAGCTATACCTGGGATAGCAAGTATTAACGTGTATCAAAAGTTTGTCCTCTTATCTTCTATTGATCTACCACATCAAAGCTGTGAAAACTTTACCTTTAGCAGCTCCAATGGCTATCGTCACTCTCTGCCTCCATGTTAAGCTCCTTCCTCCCCTCCCTACAACAAGCATTTCCAAAAAAGTTTAATTTCAGAAACTAAGCAGGATATCATGAGCCTAGAGTTTGGAACTTACCCATGATGTAGTCTAGCAGAGAACCATTTGGAACATACTCATACACCAGAATTTTTGCTCCCTTTCGCCCTGTTGATGCATAAAACAAGATGAGCCTTATAAGTTTGGCTTTATTTTCTCATCACAGCTGCTTTTGTCTGAATGTTGAAATTTCTTGGCTGGTGAGGAAATAATATAATATTAAGTATCATGAATGTACCAGCTTCTTGGCAGAACCCCACCAAACTAACGAGGTTTCTGTGCTTCACTTTTGAGAGCAACCTGATCTCTGCATGCAGATGCAATCGTATCAATTACTACAATTTTCAATGCAGTGACGGCTTCTAAAGAGAAGAAGTTATTTCCAACTACCATTTTCAAACTCTTCAGTGCTGGTGTATGATTCAGTATGTGCCTTCTTTATAGCTAGTGTTTCCTCCCCATCAAATGTTCCTCGATAGACATTTCCAAATGCACCAGAACCAACCAGACAATCTTCACTGAAATTATTAGTTGCCTTCTGTAATTGTTCCAACTGGTACCGCTTCAACATTAGTTGTTCAGCTTTTAAAGTTCCTAATTACCCAGAAATTGTCAGTAAAGGAAGATCAAATCTACAGAAGCAGATATCAAAGATGAAATCATCAGATCAATCTAAATACAACCAGTTCCGAAGAGACACTGAAGCTGATATATATGTCTCGGTTTGCACCTATATAAATAAAAATAGATATCATTTTTATTTATATTCCTTGATTAGTTTATCTTCAACAGAGTATCTGGCAATTGGAATGCTGAATTCTCAGCACATTGAAAACAATGCACTGTCAACAATTTGACAGTAACTTACTAGTAATTCGTCAAAGGACGGATCCCAGTGCGTAAATTCTGGATAAATACTTGGAGGATTAATTTTTCAATATCCCATGATGAAGAAAGTAGGAACTTGTGGTATCAATGAATGATTCACTAACCTTTTTGGTTCTCTGGTAACCTAAAGCATGCATACAGCTTCCTCTTGAAGCAGAAAAAAATTGAGCAACCAAAAAGTACTATCAAAATTGCAGCTGATACTACAGCCCAAATGTGTTGCTGGCTTTGAAAGAAACCTTGACTCATTTTTCTTTTAGGTTATCCCACTTCTCTGCTAGCCTTTGCATGCCTTATTTTTCTTTGCGTTCAACTGCTTTACTAACTGGGCAAAAGCAAGAATAGGTAGGCTGTAATACTTATTCAAAAGGATTAGTATCTCTGCCGGCTATCTATTCATTTGTTGTCTTCATGCCAATCCAGACTAGGTCAGTTATCCTTCTGTCCAAGCGGCACATATAGCCAAAGAGTACATGCAAACATGCATATGCGCATAGAAATGTAGAATTATTCACCTGAAAATGACTTCACACTAAAAAACCAGAGAATACAAACCTTGTTTCATACCATATAAAGATATATGTATGTATATATATATATATATATATATATATATATATATATATATATATATATATATATATATATATAT